GTGTCTGTTTCAAATTAAGCATTTTTTTTTGGTTTGTTTGTTTTCCATGGACCTCCTTTTATTAAAAAAATTATTTATTGCATTATATATATATATATATATATAAAATGCAATAAATATATTTTTTTAATAACAAGAGGTCCATGGAAAACAAACAAACCAAAAAAATAAGAAATGCTTAAAAAATGCTTAACCATTTACTTCATATAAATGACAATATTAATTATGTGTCATATATGACAGTGAAAATACAACATCTCGTGAACACGGTTGGCCGTCTTACACTAATGCCACTGTGTACAAAGCCCCTGCGGAAGCGTGCAGGTTTGAGGTGCGGATACTCCTCTGTACTGGTCACTTTGATGCCCCACACTTTCTTCCAGGCCTCGTACAGCTGCAGATGGATAGGATACACTCCAGAGTGATGGGGAGCCACTGCATAGCCCATGTTTGTAGGAATGCCATGCTCCTAAATGAACAGCAAACACATAAATTTAAAAAAAAAATTTGGCATATGGATCACTAATTGTTCAGAACTTTCTCCCAATGACCATACTTTAACGTACTAAAAGTAAGTACATCACGGATTGAAAATACTTAAATAAATGGTTTTGTTTACATTAAAATTGATTATACCTTTCCTTTCAAATTTCTGCATTTAAAACCTTCTGAGGAAGCTATTGCTCATTATATCTTGGTAATCTTTTTGTTGTAAAAGGTCACAGAGTCCTCAATAGGGCCTCAATGGAATATTTGCTCAAATGGCATGCACTTCTTTCTGGTTCATGAATCTGATTGGCTGACAGATGTGGTATGTTCTACTGTAATGAGAATCATTCCAGCCTTTTCACCGTTTGTATCACTCTGCCTGATGCTAGTGCAAAGCAAAGGATTAAACTCACTATATTTTGAGTTGACAAATACTGCGGCTGTTGGACCACAATGTATTTTTTATATTTTCTTAGGTGAGAATGCAAATACGCATTTTATTTATAAGGCAGCACCTATTTGAAAATGTGTTTTGATGATTTCAGAGATGGTACTTTCAGCACTTCAGTGGCCCGCTGAGAGCACTCCTTCGATGGTCACTTACTCAGAATTCTGATGTATGTCTGTATAGTTGTTTATGAAATATAATTCATTTTGGGTCAGTGCTTAATTTAAGCCGGATCTGGCATTAACTTGCGCGTGGTGAATACCTACATGTGTGTGTGTGTAAGAGAGAGAGAGAGAGAGAGAGAGAGAGAGAGAGAGAGAGAGAGACTTTGACTTTGACACACACTTTATTAAAACATCTAAAACCAAAAATTACATTTCACCTCACACGAAGTCACACTGAAACATGTTCAGGAGACAAAAGAGGTGGAAAAACAAAAATCTAAATATATATACATAAATAAAATAAAAAATATATATAATAATAAGCTATACACAAAAATAAATAATTACACAAAAAATTAATCATTTATCACCAATTAAATATTATTTTCCCATCCTCACAAATTGACACTAAGGCCCCATTAACACACCATTTGAACTCAAACTCAAGCAAGTTATTTGTCATTTGAAAGAATCGATGTTCTGTTCTTATTCTGGATTCCACCAAGGCTAAGAAAAGTTGAAGAAGATTTACATTTCGCCCCTCAGCAGCTAGTCTACATGATTTCCAGATGGCTAATTTAGCTTGTCCAATTGTGAAATTTGCTACCGTACACTTTTGTCTGTGCACTCTTGAGTATTTACACCCAAAAACAAAAAGTGTTTTGGTAAAAACAAAACCTAAGTTCAGTAGTATGACTTTTAATAAAGTGAATACTGGATCCAATCTGTAGCACTCAGTGAAAGCATGAACAACAGATTCCGGCAAGGAACAGAAGTTGCATGACGGGGAAACGTTTGGGTTGAATTTAGAAGTGTGAGAATTAGTGGGCAATGCACAATGTAATAATCTCCACTGCAAATCTCCAGATCGTTTAGGCACAGAGGACCTTTATAAAAAAGCCTCCAAGAGGGAGGAAGTTCAGCAGGGACGGTTAAAAATCTTCTCCACTTTGTATCAGCTCTGTCTTTGATCTGCTCAAAATAAGCTATTTTAACACAAATCTGATAGAGATCTCTCTTTCCTGCCACCTGAAAGTCAATTTCTTGTAAGTTGTTAAATTTCAGAAGTTTTTCTTTCCAATCATCGTCAACACAGCACTTGGGAGACACAAATAACTTAGGAAAAGGTACTTTAGAAGGACCTCCAGACAAGAAACAGTTGACAAACAGAAGAAGTGTAGAGGGAAAAGCGGCTTTCACCCCACCAATGAGCTGCTTTACCATTCTAACAGATCTGAAGCCGGCCTGACTGCAAATGTCAACCTCTGACTTCCAAGTTTTAGTTGAAGTATTTATCAAGTCAGAAACTTTGATCAATTTCTTCTCCATAAAAGTTTTAACAGTTGTATTGTATGTGCAAACATTTACTTCTAAAAGTGAGTTATTAAAAAGTGGTTCTTCAAGACCAAAATGATTGTTTTCATGTCTAATCAGTTTAAACCCTTTCCAAATGTTTAGCACAGAAGTGTAAAATTTTAAATCAGTTGAAAAATGTCCATCATAAGAAGACAACAGAAACAGATGTCTATCAAGGCCAAAACCACCAAAAGACCTGAGCAGAGCCCGACCAAAAGACACCCAAGGTCTAGCATCTACAGAGTAGAGTAGGTTTTGGACTGCATTTAGCCTCATAGCTTTAACCTTAGCTACCAAATCAATTACTCCTTGGCCCCCCTCATTAACTGGCAAGTAAAGGATTGCAGGGGGAAGCCAATGGTATCCATCCCAAAAAAAATCTACAAAAATCTTCTGTAGTCGCTGCAGCAAGTCTTTTGGTGGTTCAAGTACATTTAAGCGGTGCCACAACAAAGAAGCTGCCAAGTTGTTAATTATAAGCACTCTTCCTCTATAAGATAATTGTGGGAGAATCCATTTCCACCTTTGCAAACGTCCAACAACTTTTTCAAAAATACCATCCCAGTTCCTCTGAATATAATGATCAGTCCCAAGAAAAACACCTAGCACTTTAAACCCTTCCCGACTCCACAAACAGTTCTGGGGGAGTACTGGGTGGTCTCTATCGTCCCATTCTCCTATCAAATAGGAAGCACATTTTTCCCAGTTAATTCGAGAGGAGGAGGCTTTTTGATAAACCTCCAGAGTAGCACTCAGGTCCTTGACATCCTGAGTTGATCTGATGATAACAGTCACATCATCTGCATAAGCTGCGAGTTTGATTGTTGCTAGTTCCAAGGGGGATGAGCAAGCTGTTGATATACCACTCAACTTACTTCTTAGTGCAATCAGTAAAGGTTCAATTGAAATGGCATACAGAATTCCTGAGAGGCCACACCCCTGCCGTATGCCTCTACTCACTCTGAAGGATCTTGTTAAAGTGCCATTAATTTTTAGCATACTGTGTATGTCCGTGTACAAGAGTCTTATATGGGCAATAATAGATGGCCCGAAACCAAATGCCTTAAGGCACTTAAACAGAAATTCATGATCTACCCGATCAAATGCTTTCTCTTGGTCCAAAGAAAGAAAACCAACATCGAGATTGTGTAATTTAGCAAAAGAAATTAAGTCCCGAATCAAAAAAATGTTATCAAAAATAGACCTTCTTGGAATGCAGTATGATTGATCTGCATGAATTATTGAGGAAATGTAAAGTTTAATTCTGTTCGTAAGACACTTTGAAAGTATCTTGTAATCAACTCCTAGTAGGGAGACTGGACGCCAGCATCTGATGTCTTCAAGATCACCTTTTTTTGGTAAAAGAGTGACTACAGCTCTGCGAAGGCTCATAGGAAGTGTGCCCCTTTTTAAGCTCTCCATAAAAACAGCAAACAAATCTTCTCCAATAATCGGCCAAAACTGTTTGTAAAATTCTGTATTAAGTCCATCTAGTCCTGGTGTTTTGCCCGAAGACATCTCCTGAACAGCTGTAGAGAGTTCATCAAAAGTCAATAATTTATCCATCATGGATTTCTCTTGATCTGAAAAATGTGGTAAATCTTGAAGGAGAACATCAGCCATTTCTTCATTGCATGGTTCAGCACTGTACAATTCCTCATAAAAGGACAAAGCGTGTGAAATGATTCCATGAGCATCAATAATCCTTTTTCCATCTGGACGTTTTAAACAGCTTAAAATCTTCTTATCTACAACCTTCTTCTCCATGCCGAAAAAAAAAGACGTAGGGGCATCCATATTATTAAAAGTCGTAAATCTTGCACGGACAAGTTTTTCTTGAGCTTTTTCTTTCAATAAATTCCGCAAAAGAAATTTGTTACGCTCCAAAGTCTCCACAGAATCAACAATGTCACCTTCAAAATTAAGTTGAAGAATTTCCTGCTCAAGCTGTGCCATCTCATTGGCTAGAGAGTTTTTAAAATAACCAGTGTACTGCTGGCAAAACAGTTTGATTTGAATTTTGCCAATATCCCACCATTGACTCAGGGACTTATATTGTGTTTTTTTCTCTCTCCAGATCTCCCAGAAATAAGTGAAAGAGTGCACAAAGTTGTGATCTAATAATAATCTGCTATTAAACTTCCAATATGCATTTTTAGAAGTGCTCTCTGCAGTGGTGATATCAGTAGATATGAAGTGATGATCAGATAAAGCAGTAGGAACTATACAACTCTTATAGAAGTGGCTTCTTTTACTTTTTTGAACATAAATTCTATCTAACCTAGCTCCAGAAACCATGTTGCGGTTTACTTTCATCCATGTATATTGTCTAGTCTGGGGAAAAGATTCTCTCCAAACATCAACAAGGCCCTGATGAATAATCAAGGACTGAAGTACATCTGCTGATTTACTGTGAGGTTCTTCATGGTTTCGATCTAATGTATGATTCAAAGTGCAGTTAAAATCACCAGCTAGTACAATGGTCCTGTCAAAAGGTATGTGACTTAAAGCTATTTTAAGTTTTTCAAAAAAAGAGACACGATCTGACCCAATATTGGGTGCATAAACGTTAACAAAGGAGAAATCAATTCCGTGAATAGTCACATCAACTCTTAACAAGCGACCAGAAACTATATCAAAAACACTACAGGGTTGTTCTTTATAATTAGGTGCCAGCAATATAGCCACTCCTGCACTAACACTCGTGCCATGACTTAAAATCACCTGCCCTTTCCATTCATTCAACCACTGTATTTGATTGTTAACATCTGTATGTGTTTCCTGCAGAAAAACCACACCAGCACTCTTCATCATAATATAATCAAAAAGACTAGCCCTTTTCATAGCATCACAACCTCCATTAATATTTAATGAGCTGAGTCTCAAAGGTGCCATGAAAATAAGTATAAAAAGGGCCTTCAATAATACCAATCCATTAGAATAAAACCTCCATAACCAAGACATGCTCATTTTAATCTTGTCCGTTTAAAGTACTTCTAACATTACCCATGAGTTTTCTCAAACGATATCTTTTAGGTTTGTCAAGTTCATATATAGATGCTTTTCTCATTGCCATTGTAACAGACAGCAGAAACAGTTTTAAATCAGGAAAATAAGATTCTATTTTGGGTTTGCGAAGACCTTTTGTAAAGTCAAGAAAGTTGTTAATCTGCTGAACTGAGTAAAGTTTAGTCTTACCTCCAGAAGTAGGCCGTAAATCCATCATTTTTGGTTCCATTAATGTTGCATCATCCTCATCTTCCTTGTCAGAACAATCCATTTGTACATTTAAATCCGCAAAGTCTTGAGATGAAATATCATCTTGACTTTGATCCAATGTATCATTTATATCACTCTCAGTTTTGTCCGCGTCGGTTTGTTTATCAAAACAAAGTGGATCGATCTCAGACGCTTTTTCCAAGCAAATCTGTTCCAGGCTCGTTTCTGCCTGCGGTACAGCATTACTCGGTCCGGCCACCTCCTCAGGAGCCCCTTCCAGGCCGTCTTTAGAGGCGACTAGCACCGGGTTATCGGGCAGGTCGCCCGGCACCTCAGTCGCCTCACCCGGTCGGGGTTCTGAAGCCCCGGCCGCCGAAACAACCTCTGTACCGAGCGCCTCCTCGCTGTTCTCCGCATCTGCAGTCGGAGCCGCAGGAGCGGCCACAGGTCTGTCTCGATTTGGACAACTTTGTCTAACGTGATTAAAACTGCCGCAGACAAAACACTTCATAGAATCTGAGGTGATAAAAATTGTATAATCTTTACCGTCAATACTTAGTTTCACTGACAGATTTAGTGGATCATTCGGAGAATTCAAAATCATGAAGGTCTGACGCCGAAAAGACATCACATGTTTAATTTCAGGGTTTTTGCATCCAAGTGGAATCATTTTGATGGGACTTACTATTTTACCATACTTCTGGAGTATTTGATCTAGTTTTTCGTTTTTAACAAACGGAGGTACGTTTGATAAAACAACTTTCTTGGATGGACTTGACAAAGGCAAAACCGGTACGAATGCATCTTTGATTATCAGCCCCGATTCAATCAGGTTATCTACCATTTGACTTTCACTCAGAAAGAACACGATTGCCTTATTCATACGGGAGGCTGATTTGATATTAGTACCACCGATCGCCAAACTAACAGCGATGAGACAGTCCTCCACTGAAACCTGGGCGTCAGGTATACATTTACACCCATGTTTGAGTGTTAAACGCGAGAAATCTCTCGCATCTGAACTCATCCTCCTCCTCGCTCACTGACCGATGTCAGGGATCAGAAAAGGAGGGAAAAAACAACAACTCTAATCTAGCTCTATAATTTAGAAGGGAAGGGATAGTAAAGAAACAGAAATTTTCACTCTCACAGAGAGGTACTCTCACCCGAATCTGTCCACACTCCCAGCATGCACTCGCACAGAGAGAGAGAGAGAGAGAGAGAGAGAGAGAGAGAGAGAGAAAGAGAGAATAAGTGCAATAGAAGGCTGTGTGAATTGTGTGTGCACACATGACAGAAGTCACCACACGCAAAATCATATTTAACTATAGGCCCTCAACAATATTTTCAGCTTGCAAATCACTTTTCTTATTTTTACAGTCACTCTCATTGGTTAGTGATCGTTTCGCCTACAGTTTGTAGCCTGCAAAGAGGCAGTCACGCATATTTTCATTTTTTAAAACCACGAGTGAATGAATCTGAAAAAGTGGTGGTGTCAGTCATGGTAACTTTTATTTCCTGGTTTTGTTCCAGGAATGATTCATTTACAAACTAAGCACTGTTCTGGGTATATCTATGAGCAATTTATACATCTACACAATACATATATAAAAAAATCAAATCACAAAATCACTTACTCAGAATTCTGATGTATGTCTGTATAGTTGTTTATGAAATATAATTCATTTTGGGTCAGTGCTTAATTTAAGCCGGATCTGGCATTAACTTGCGCGTGGTGAATACCTACATGTGTGTGTGTGTGTGTGTAAGAGAGAGAGAGAGAGAGAGAGAGAGAGAGAGAGAGAGAGAGAGAGAGAGAGAGAGAGAGAGAGAGAGAGAGAGAGAGAGAGAGAGAGAGAGAGAGAGAGAGAGAGAGAGAGAGAGAGAGAGAGAGAGAGAGAGAGAGAGAGAGAGAGAGAGAGAAAGAGAGAATAAGTGCAATAGAAGGCTGTGTGAATTGTGTGTGCACACATGACAGAAGTCACCACACGCAAAATCATATTTAACTATAGGCCCTCAACAATATTTTCAGCTTGCAAATCACTTTTCTTATTTTTACAGTCACTCTCATTGGTTAGTGATCGTTTCGCCTACAGTTTGTAGCCTGCAAAGAGGCAGTCACGCATATTTTCATTTTTTAAAACCACGAGTAAATCTAATAATGAACCTGTTTAAAAGAGATCTTGAGAAGATGAAACTGCATTAATAGATCAGGATAGCAGGAGACAGAAGCAAAGCAATATTTTGTTTCCACTTGGCACATAATAGTGAAGTGAACTGAATAGTGATTGTTTATGCGATTTATAATCGACAGTAAATTTTTGCACGATTGTTTACAGCTACATGTCTTTATCATCCATGGCTGACCTATAATGTTATATGGCACAAAATACTTCAATTATGTGATGTTGTTTTTTTTACGATATCACTGTTTAATGATGTCATGTTAATGAATCTGAAAAAGTGGTGGTGTCAGTCATGGTAACTTTTATTTCCTGGTTTTGTTCCAGGAATGATTCATTTACAAACTAAGCACTGTTCTGGGTATATCTATGAGCAATTTATACATCTACACAATACATATATAAAAAAATCAAATTCTTAATAAAATCTGCAAGTCAAATACATGATATTAAAATAATTTTTTTATAGGTCATTTTGTGCATCGCCAAATCTCCTGTATTTGACACAGAGTCTCACCCACCTCTGCAAACTTGTGGTTGAGCAGCATTTGTTCAGCCAGCACCGACTGGTTGTGAAATAGATGCGGCTGCATGTGACTCCACATGTGTGGGAACCACCAGAACTCCTTACTATAAGACAGAAGCAGGTCATCTCCAAGATCCTCCTCATCTGTGCCTGAAATATCAGTAAACAGACACAAAATGGTGACTCTACAATCAAAAACAGCCTTCTAACCATCATGAAGGCTCGACTGATTATGAACAAGGGCAAATGATGTTCACAGAAACCAAACGAGTATGCGTTTACCATTTTGTTTAGCTAGCAATGTGCTTTCTGCTTACCCGCATGAAAGAACTTTCCAGAGAATCCCAAGTTGAAGGTGAAATTGGGCACATGGTTTCGAAGTTCATTCTGCGTCTCCAGTAGAGCCTTTGAAATTTAGAGTTTAGCAGATTAATAAACAGCCCTAAGCCAGTTAATGCAAACAAAACACATTCAAACAGCACACAGATAGCAGACAAGAACACAAAAGAGAGACAAAGCCAAAAGACGCACGCCAACGCATGTATGTATGTGCACTGCAGTAACACAGCGCTGGAGGGACAACGTAAGCATGTCAGCTGTCTGTTGGTCTACTCTGTTTGCTTCATTACCCCTCTCAGATTTAGCTCGGCATCTGCCTCTCATTTGATTTGTTTACTGCGCTTTCTTGACTGCCTGTCTCTCCAGTGTGACTCAATCAAAAGCCTGATTCATATTTAACTGCACAGAGGTCCGCAGACAGACAAGACGGCTTTGATTATGTTTGCTTTCTATTCCTTCCCTCGGCTGAACATCTGCATCGGGGCACTCTGAAGACGAGAGGAGGACGCCGAAAACTGCATTTGAAATATTCATGCTTGCGGCGAGTCTTTGGATGCCCTTTGAACAGCGAGTCGTAAAAAATAAAATAAAAACGGGAAATGGAAGGAAGAAATGTTTGGAAAAACAACAGCAGAGGTTGGAGAACTGCAAAAGAAAAGCAAACAAACAAACTGGTGATAGAGCAAGTGCTGTCACACATTAAAAAAACTTTAAGTTGGATGGATCTAACAAACCAGTTTCTCTATGTTCTGCCTTTTAGGTGTGTTATTCTTTCCCCTGCTGAGTTTATATCCATGCCTGGTCTTTTTCTTTTCCAAAATATACATTTCCCTTGGTTTTAATTAGTTGCCTTCAAAACATATTTCATTTTATGTGTAATTCCCTCTCGATCCCTGACTCACAAATATGGATTCTTGTTTTTGCTAGCCCACTTAGCAAGTGGTTAAGACATTCAAGGGTGCGTCACAAAACAGAAAATTATACATTTAGTTCTGGTCCTCTTAGCATTCACGCTGACATTTTAAATCTCTTTAAAAACATGATTAAGCATTCAGGTAACACTTTACAATAAGGTTGTACTAGTTAATGCACTTACTAACATAAACAAACAATGAACAAAACATTTATTACAGTACTTGTTTATGTTAGTTGACGTTGGTTAATGAAAATAAAGGAGGCGGCACAGTGGCTCAGTGGTTAGCACAGTGGCCTCACAGCAAAAAGGTCTCTGCTTGAGTCCCGGCTGGGTGATTTGGCATTTCAGTGTGGAGATCGCATGTTCTCTCCATGTTTGTGTAGGTTTCCTTCTGGTGCTCCTGTTTTACGACACTACAAAGACGCTATAGGTGAACTAAATTGGCCGCAGTGTATGAATGCGTGTGAATGTGTATGGGTGTTTTCCAGTGCTGGGTTGGAGCTGGAACGGTATTCACTTCATAAAACATATGCTGGAATAGTTGGCGATTTATTCCACTGTGGCGACCCCTGATAATAAAGGACTAAGTCATAGGTAAATGAATGAATGTATGAATGAATGAATGAAAATAAAGTTGTTCATTGTTAATTCATGTCAACTTGCAGTGCATTAACTAATGTTAACAAGATGAACTTGGATTTTAACTATGATTAAGTAATGCTGTACAAGTACTGTTCATTATTAGTCATGTTAGTAAACACACTAACTAATGAAACTTTATTGTAAAGTGTGACTAGCAAAGAGATTTATTTAAATTACCTTCAACGGAGCAAATCACGCATGACATTTTGAAGTGTATTTATCTTACATTAGGGATGCACCAAATTTTAAGCAATGTTTTGCTGTGCTGCACTGCCGAGCAGTGTTCAGTTTAGCTTTCACACCAGACACGAAAAGTGCTGTGCTATGAAGCCCATTAATTTCAATGGCTTGTGCCACATTCTGTTGATATGTCAACCGAATCGAATCGATAGAGCAGCTGCAGCTGCATGCACCAATGGGTAACTTGTGTGAGTGTGCCACAGTCAAAGTTCACAATAGCTAAATATACATCTCTGTAAATATTCTGCTCATGTACATGATACACTACATCTAGCTACTGCACATGCTCACCGGAAAAGCAAAGTTTACTCAAATACAGCATCAACATTTCTATGTACTTGGTCAAGCTGCTTGCAATAGCATTACTGTGCTGTAAAGGCAACACTGGTATTTTAGTGGATTGCATGTATGTGGTTTTTTTTACTCAGTATAACTTTAGATATTGAGTTAAATTTAAAGTCTTACAAATTTACTTTATATAACTTTTTTTTTTTTAATTACAAAGCATTGTCAGTTTTTGGTACATTCCTTGAATTAATCTCCTTAAATGTCCTTAAACATTTGCATAGGTCCCAGCTATTTCTTTTTTTACTAGTTCGCACCAACTTTTTTATACTTATGTATTCATTAAATTAATAAAATACATTGACTTAATTCTAATTCTTAATTTTAATAATAATATAAATTAATTGGTAACATTTTGGGCCACAATTCACAGTAATAACAAACCATTACCTACTGCTAATAGCTTAAACTACTAATTAGCTGATTATTAATAGTTAGTAAGGTAGAAAGTGGGTTGAGGTTTTGGGTAGGATTAGGGATGTAGAATAAGATTATAGTTTGTATAATGTGCAAGGTTTAATCACAGTTAGTCAATCATAGTTATATATTAACTACTAATGAACAGTTAATATCTTAATAATAGGCAGATAATACACCAGTAGTTAATAGCATGAATTGTGACCTGAACTAAAGTGTTATCAATTATTAAATGGGAAATTATGCAACCATACATATAATCATTTCACAGCTCCCAATCCCCCCAAATTTCCAAGCAAGTTTGGCTGGATAATGGGGCCCTATTTAATTCACGTACTAATGCTTTCAAGACAATGACGTTTCTTGTTATTTTAGTAAACAAAGATTTTAAATAGCTCAAGTTTCTCTAATGTGTGCCCATTTAAATAAGCAGAACTCACAATGTCCAGCATTTACAAAAAAAAAAAAAATATTCAAAGCACATGATGAGGAGTTGGTGGGAGAGAAGTATTATGTTAAAGAATACAGAAGGAGTGTACAGTGTGTATACTGCAAAATTGTATGACCCATGATCCCAAATTATAGTAAAAAAAAATGAATAATGATAATAATAATAATGATAAATTACCAAACCAACTGGGCCTTATTAAAATAAAATAAAAGCACTCACCTTGACATCAGACACCTTCATCCGTGTTCCCTCCTTCCCAACAAAGATGTCATCAATATCCACCAGTATGTAGCGCTCAAGGGCCAACGAGAGGCGCTTTCCAGTCAAGAAACTCACTGCGTCCACCAATACCAGTTTGTGCAGCCAAAAGTTGAGGTTGTTGCCGAAGAGTACCCGCTGGATGCCATCATGAAGACCCAAATCCTGAACCACAGCTGCATGAAGGGGTCCGGGAGCTCCGCTGGCCTCCGTACTCCGTCCCCGAGCTAACAGCACAGGCTCATAGGTGGTATGGTTGGACTGGAAGACAGTCCAGTCATCTCCAGGTAAGGGTCCATGCTCCACTTCTCTGGCCTTGGTGATGAACAGCAGTGGAGACTTTGGGTTGACACTACAGTCCCTTAAACCCAGATTGGAGTGCAGGAAGAGAGGAAAGCCCTTAAGCTGGGCGCTCTGCAAACTGTTTTCATTAGCCTTTGATGAAGTAATGGAAGAAAAACAGAACACAAGAGAAATGACTGGTAAAACATAGGGCTGTAACGATACACCAAACCCACGATTCGGTTCGTATCACGATTTTTGACCCACGATTCGATTCGTATCACGATTTTTTATTTTATTTTTTTTTGTGTGGGGTGGGAAAAAAAAGATTTTTAAAACTATTTTTAATTAAATAACATTTGAAAAATCTTTATAAACTAAACATCAAAGAACAATATTAACTATGCAAATTATTAACAATATAAATAGCCATATATAAAATAAATAAATAGGCAAAGCTATATCACTTCTGTTTTCTTTGTAACAAAATACTGTTGAAAAACCAAACTAAACTCCATTGTTTAGATGGTTCAAGCATGTTGAAAATTATTTTTCAATCAAGTTCTCTTGCATAGAAAAAGTAAATTAAATAGCTAGGGATGCTCATTTCGTTAATTTTGCTAACCGACAACCGCCGCTCATAAATCGGTTATTAACGGTTAACTGGTCAGATTACTATTAATTTTATATTAAACAAATTGACGTGTCTATTTTGTGTATGACACATTAAATATTGCATTTTAAAATACTGATTTATTTTTATATATTAATAACGGAACAGAACAACAGAGCATCTTCACGCACCTGCAGTGTTTAGCACAGAAGAGCAGAATAATCTAAATAAAATGAATAAAATAAATAGGAATGCCCTAAATTATTTTCACTTAAATAATTAATTTATTTTACAAAACGAAAATACTGACTGATTCTTTTTAATAACCGGCATAGGCTTTTTTTCCAATCATATGTTTATTTCTTCCGTCAAATAAAAATCGCAGACTTCCTCAAATTGCTTGCTCCACGGAAAATATGCATTTATTTAATGCCCCGCTGTTATTATTATAATCACAAAACCTTTTACATTTTAATAGAAATCCTTATTTTATTTAAAGATTATGTCCTGATATAGCCTATGGTTTCCTCTCTCTCCCTCGCGGTTCAAGTGCGCGCGCTGCCTGATGAAAAGACAAAAACACGCGCTCATATGTAGACTTTTTGTAAACAGTTTGTTTAAATATGATATTGCATTAATCTGCGTACATGCTTTAAGCTGTAAAATAAAAAGTATAGCCTATTTGTTGCGTTTATTACGCAGATCCAGGTCAACATAAGCGCTGGTTTAGTATCAACAAGTCTGTATCAAACAGCAATATTCTTCTTCCATTTTGCTTCTTTAGCAAATGTGTCTGTAGGCACGGGTTATACGTTATCATCCCGCAAATTAAGTATGCCTTGCAGTTAAACAAGTGGCCGAAAACAAGGCGCACCTTACTGCCTTTATGTTGACAAGGAAAAAAGAAGAGGCGCGGTCCTCTTATAAACGACTGAATCAGCTGGGTATCGATTGTGCAAAAGTGTTGCTGTCTGTCTTGTTACAATTGTAATATTTAATACTATTGTTATATTCAAGATTTGTACATTCATACAGCTCTGGATAACTTAAAACAACGATTAGACCTTCAGAGCGGTGTTAATGCGTCCTGAAGTAAAGCGAAACGGCTATAAACTTCAGCAAGATTGAGTGATTATATGCAGAGCCATATACCTTTATCTCTAAATAAAGTAGGCTATAACTATAGAAACTGTGTTTATTTTAACTGAAAGCTTCGTCGTGTTTTCTGACCGCACGCACCTGTCAGTCAGCACTCCCATAGGTTCAAACAGAAAGCGCACAGCACGGTTACAGAAAAGTTTGGCTGTTACCTGACATCTGGTGAACGCCTATCCCTCTCTGCGCAGCCACATTACCAGTGTGAGCAAATCATCGTATATGCGCTGAAAATCCTGCCGCTTTGACAGCATTGGCAATGTTTATGGCGTTGTCGGTTGTCAAGCGGGGTTAATTGGTTTTGTTTTTGATATTCTTGACACATTCAGACGGCCCCTTACTAAGAGCTCCGTGCGAGCTCTCCCGGCTAAATATTGCGAGGGCTTAAACGGAGCAGTGCTTGTAATGTCGAACGAAAAAAGTGTTAATTAGCTCAACTTTTGCAGGCACGCGTGACGTTATTGGAAAGGTATCACGGGGTGGGTGTGTCGCGATTCTCCCTTATCACACCGCGACACAGGATCGTAGATCTGAGTGTCGCGATTTCGATTTTATATCGTGTATCGTTACAGCCCTAGTAAAACAGCAAGATAAAACTCCCCTTCAAATGGGTCACATTCACATACAGGTTAAGGACTCCCCCTCCACAGTCTTCATACTCTTGTGGTCATTGTAATTTCATGTTTTCCATAATACACACTTGTGATCTATGAACTACTTTTGAATAACCCATTTTTCTTAACATCTAAGACATAGTTTCCCTCTTGGAAAAATGCTCCACTTGAAGTACAATTTGGAATATCATGTTCAAATCCCAAAATGTGATTTTAGATGCTAGCATAGCATATCTCAACTGCTAAGTTTAAACAACATGTAAGAGGAGTACCACTTTTTTCTCTTTTCACAAAGATTGGTAAGTGCTTGGATACAAAGTGAAGAACATTAGGGGTCCTAGCATACACCTGGCGCAATTTGTCGCTATTTTCAGACCTAAAATAGACCGTGCTACTGAACATCTAAAAGCAGGTCTAAAGTCAGTGATTCCCACACATAAGTCTAAGTATATTTGACAGCAGTTTTTTTTACTGTTATTATCATTCTTTTACACTTTTCTTGTCTTCACCCAATATAAACAAACATAATTAGTGCATAAATTCTCTCCATTACTCGTTTCATACTGCTTGTTCTGTGTGTGTGAGAACTGTCAACACTCACATGAGAACGCACGCAGTACAGCTTGTGACTTCATCTGCTTTTTTTTCTAAGTACATTAACATGGACACCAACACTCCGCTTTTATGATTAAGATAACACTGGTTAAGAGTCTACCATGTAAGCAGCAATTTTTGATTACCTTAAAGAATCACGCGAGTCCCGAAATGCTGAGGTTTTTCTTTCCGTTCGCCATGCGGTATCAAATTCTATTTAAACTTCCTGAATAAAAATATGCTGAATGAGAGTGAACTGTTGAACTGCAGTTAAAGTCTAAAGATTAAAAATGAAACACACGAAATTGCATGAAACTCTGTAGGAAACACAGAATAGCCTGGTGATGCCACATTAATTGTTTTTTTACTGAAACTTTCCTTCTAAAAGCACATCCTTGGTCTTATCCATATTTCTTTGCACGTTAAACACACGAAGGGCCGGAGCAAGCTGAACTGGCGCTCTAGGCAAACAGCAATCACACCGCCCTCAACCCGAAAGAGACCGGTTTGCAGATGAAAATGAGGACCGTGAGGGAGGGGCTGGGTGAAAGTGAGGACCAAGGGGTTCGGCCGCCTTGGTCGCCTCTATGCACACGCTGTCCCCTGAACACACGTCGGCCACAACAGGAAATAAAAAAACTGCATTTCAATAGATCAAAACTGAGTTGTTTTTTTTTAACACATTAAATATTTAAAATGAATCACGTGCGTTAACTCGCTAATTTTGACAGCCCTAGTATTTTGTATAGTGCATTTATTGTGTATGGCCATAAATCTAAAGCGATTCACAATCATGAAGGGGGCAACTCAGAAAATCTTTACTAAATACTCGGAGAGGACGAAATTACATCTAAATTGGCTGCAGAATATTTGTACACCATAAGAAAAGGTTAATAAACTAATTTGTCTTTTTGAAATACGTTTTATTCTTGTAATTATTATAATTTTAAGGGATATTGTCTGTTTTTATTCCTTTTTTCTGTAATTTATTTTCATTTGCTGTATATTTTATGAATTTGATGTTAATATATTACATATTTTACATATCTAAAATGCTTTGGCATATTATGTTTTGCTTGTTGCATACAATTAACTATTTATGCGCTCTCAGTAAAAGGTGTGTTTCAATCCAGCTACCACCGCAAGTATATTTCAAACCTGAGGGAAACACTGAAAGTCCAGCACAGAGCGTATTAGTATATGCCTATGTGGGTTCAAAGCTTACACATTGCTAAATACACACAGGATCTACAACAATACACAAATATCTTTACATATGACAAAATTTAAAGGATTAATTGGAAGAGGTGTGCCAGAGCGCGGTTCACTTGAGTTCAGCAGTACTCTTGTAGTGTGAGTGCAAAGCGCGTCTGAGCCCAAAACTGAAGACGAGACGTGACTTTTAAGGGATTGTTTCATATGAATTTATTAATCATTCTAACTGTTCAATGAACAAAAACTGTCATAGATTATTAAAGATGCAGACCAGTCTCTGCACAACAGCTAAACCTTCAGCAAACCTTCTAATGCCTACAGGATGAGGACTTTATGATTGTTAATGAGCATTAAAATCAGCTGTGCTGAGCGAGCGAGCTTCTTACTGAACAGCGCATCATCGATGAACGCAAGTGCGCTTATGCAATGTGGGTGCGTGCCATCAGGGGAGATGGGAGCGAGGACAAATGTGCTTCGGCCCGGTTCAAGGCAACTTTAAACATAAGAGAATAAGCACAACCCTTTTAGAAATCAGCGTATTTTTCCATCCTTAAAATAGCAAAAGTGGATTCAGACGCGCCCTTAGACTTTGCACATAGATCGTTAAAATAGAGCCCTAGATTTTTGACAAGAAATGTTTTACTGTCTCCTTTATTGATTTTATGTATTGCATGTATTATGCAGGTTCTTCCTCTACTTTCTTAGCAGAATTAAACAAGTACTTGAGAATTAGATGTCTTGCAGTGCCAGGGGTGCCTGAGTTTGTTTAAACAACATTCACACTCATCTACACGCAGACCGCTCTCCTCTTGGACCAGCTGACCCTGTGAAGTTGGATCAATTGGTGATAAACTGCACACTAAGCGGAACAAACACAATGAGCTTTACATTTTGGACAGAGGCTTTTAGCCTACTCATCCCCAAACACAGTCATTATTCTGCCACCAGAGGTAGCATTGGGACCCTCTAGATAAACATGCTGTCCACTGATGAATCTTGCACATTTTCTACTCCTCCTTTTAGAGGCAACACACTGAAATTGCAGAAGGAGGTGGTGATATCACTCTGTGCTTGGAGAATGAGGGTGGATGGGAGATTTTCACATACCAGTAGCCTTAATCAATACCTTGCTCAAGCCTCTGTTTAACTCATCCCATGTTTTTGTCTTCATTGATTGAGTAACACAACACTCCTTCATAGTTTATCAGCATTTAACTTTGTTTGACAATGAAAAGCACCTGAATTTATCACTAGTTGAAGCTTTAATTATATAGAGGTCATACAGGTCTTAAAGCTGGTAAAAAAAAGTAGTTAACTATCTCATGAAGCAATTAATTATTGGTTTCCACTATATTCATTCTACCATGGCGGGGCGCCACACCAAAATTCATACCGCCATGGCTACATTACAGCTTCTTCATTCATTAATTTTCTTGTTGGCTTAGTCCCTTTATTAATCCGGGGTCGCCTCAACAGAATGAACCGCCAACTTATCCAGCACGTTTTTATGCAGCGGATGCCCTTCCAGCCACAACCCATCTCTGGGAAAAACACACGCACGCACATACGCACGCACACACTCATACACTACGGACAATTTAGCCTATCCAATTCACCTGTAACGCATGTCTTTGGACTGTGGGGCAAACCGGAGCATCCGGAGGAAACCCACGTGATCGCAGGAAGAACATGCAAACGCCAACTGAGCCGTGGTTCGAACCAGCTGCGCCACTGCATTGCCCCCATTACAGCTTCTTATTAATTCAAAACATTCATTCATTGTTGTTGTTTTTAATAGCGGGTTATAATCGCCCTAAAACGCATTGAAAGGTAAGTGAATTATAACAGCGCAAACTTTTCTGTTACCGTAGTAGGGCTGTGCTCTATTTGTTTAACACTTTAAGGTGACGTGCTGACAGACAGACTGACTGACTTACTGACTGACAAGTGCGTGATGCCAGCAAAAACGATGTAGCTTTCAGTTAAGATAAACACAGTTTGCATAATTATGCTTTATTTATAAATAAAGGTCTGCGATTCTGCATACAGACTTTAACGTTATCTTGCTGGAGTTTATTGCCGTTTCACTTTACTTCAAGATACATTAATGCCGCTCTGTAGGTCTACTGGAGATATTCATAAATATTCCTGGCAAATCTTATAAATGTTGGAGACATACTCACTACATAAACGCACTTAAATCGTACTTAAGCAGTGTTTATTTGAGAGCGCACATAAAGATCTGCGCTTGAGCAGCGTGTTTGAGGGCTTCCAAGAAGTTTTGTGCACGAGCACTTGTCATTGAAATAACGCCATAGGTAGTTGGTAGATTTGTGTAAAAGACTTGCCGTCACAGCTGGAAAAAATCCTAAAGAAAACACTGCTTATGATACTTTAAAATGCTTGGTCGTTTGCTGACTAGGTTTCAGAGGAGAGGAAATGTGTGTGGTTGGTGGCCAGAGGCTTAATATTGCCCCTAGATATTATGCCAACTGGTTAGGAGTCTAAAAGGGTTTATTCAAATTACACATTGACTCTCTGGACATGGGATTAGGTTAGAAGACTAACAGGAGAGCAAACAAGGTCTTGAATCCAACGATGCGTGCAAGCAGAACTACAAGATGTGCTGGTGTCCACTGTGATGTTTCTTTGTGAATGTTTAGACATACTCTAACTCGTGAGAGATAAATGATTTTGGCATTGACAGGTGCAAGTCAATGCTTGATGTGAATGTAATTATGCATGCACCACTACTGAAGTAAACTGGAGGTAGAATCTTTCTTTAAAAGGAAAGAAATGTTTGTTCTGCTCAACCATATACCTTCAGGGTCTGTTATCAGACACAATCGCATCTCTAAATCAATGAAAATCCAGCAAGGAAAGAATGTTAAATGCCTGGACAAGAAAACAGCATTTTCAGCCAATCATAGATTGAACTGCTCCTGTTAGTGTGTAAACAGCCGAGCCTGGGGTAAAAACAACTCTAAGGAGAATCGGAGCAGCCTGAGCCAATAAAAATTAACGAGCGCAAATTTCATGCAGTTCCTTTTAAGACGTGTTGATGTCCTCGCCTTTCTGCTGCAGGCGAGCAAGACTCTAACACTCTCATCAACTGGGTTAACCTCCACTAACAATTAGTGTGCCGCACTCGAGCTCGTGAGGGTAATAAAAGTGGGCCTAGCCTAAGGCAAACAATACATTAAAACTAGGAGAGGAGGTTTACAAGCTGCCAATGACAGACAGCATTGGCTGATAGTCAAATGTACAGACTCAAGGACCTATTATTTCCTCTTACTGATTTTGAAGAGCAGCTCCCTCACAGAACAAGAGTCAAGACAATCAACAAGGACATTCACATTCAGTAATGTGCCATTACTGCAATGTTTAGCATAATGCCCCAACCTCCCTTTGCTGGCAATATTTCTGCAAACTAACATTAGAATCAGACTGTGAAATGTCAGTTGTGAGATTTAGTGCAAAGTGATTGACCCACTAGAATTAAGAGACACATTAACACCCATTAGTGAGACTATTTGCTGTGAAAGGTCGAGCTGTACAACACAAATGGCTCACCTTGAAAAAGCCAATGATGCCAACGCCGTACTCCACACAGTACTTATCCAGCAACTCTCTATTCCAGGCATCCAGGTTGACATACTTGAGGATGTTCTCGTAGATGACCAACGTGAATCGACCCCGGTTCTTATCTGTGAGTGTTGGCATGTCACCTTTTCCAGGCGCAATCTCTGTCTGATACCGAAATCTTCCAGATTCCAAGATGGCAACAATGTCCTGTCCCAACTGGGAATACAAGCTCTCAACGAACACAAGCACTACAGGATCAGTTCGAGACATGTCTGCTGGTTTGGCCGTTCTGGCAGGTAGAACCCTTGCTGAAGGAGGGGAAGGAGTTGCGCGAGGATCTTCCCAATCGGCTGTACCTTCTTCAGGGACAACCACACCTCCGGCTCCAGCTGGTTCAAGCTCCCGTTTGACGCCATATAGGAAATAGGCTGAGATGAGGACACTGACCATACAAAAGAGAAAGAGCAGCAGCAGGCTGGTCTGCAGCGTGAGCTGACGGAAGAGCCGCCTTACACGTCCACACATCAGCATCATCACCTTGTGACCACACGAATCAGGACAGACGCAGTCCTCAATTTACAAGTCTATTGTTTGCGTTTTCCAAAAAGACAAAAAATATGGGTTGAAATCAGGTTTCTCCGTAATGCACGCACTCATGTCACCATTGCAGAGGGCGGCGAGACTGGGTTGGGCAGGGGACGGCATGGGTGAGGTGGGCTTCCACTTTCCAGCAAGGGATGTGCACTGCCCCCACATGTACCAGCAGCCCCCTGCCCAACACCTCTATGCCCCTTCTCTACCCTCTCCGAGTCCTTATCTCCAGATCCTGTGTAGAGAAGATGATAGATTTCAGACTTGAAGGTGGCTTCTTGCTTTTCTGCACTTGATGCTCTAGACAAATCATGCCCAGAGCATTGTTGCCATCTCGAATTTACCTAAAAAAAAGGAAAAAACAGTGTTAATTTAAGCATGGTAAAAGTGAACTCAATGCAATTAATTCCAAAAGATTTGTTGCGCACCATTTTAATAAATCAATCCTGTTACTTGTGCACAATCTTATTTAACTCTAAGGCATCTGTGTACTCTAAGGCAATGAATTTTGGCTAGACCACAGGAGCAACTCTTGTATTACCTCTATCCGAATGTTGGCTGCAAAAGCCAAACCCACATGATGCCGTGGGAGCCCTACAACCTGGGTTTCTTTTCACTGAATACCAAGAGTGTCTAGAGAGGCATTTACAAAGGCAATGCCAGGATTACGGGATAATGGAGGCGGCTTGTATTGATTAGTGAGGGCTTTAAAAAGTGATCCTCGCTATCCTTCATGCACTTCAAAGGGCAAAAGTCATTTAATCTTTTCATCTTAAATGAAGGGTTTAACGCAAAGTGTGGCACAGGTGAATGAGTTGAGTAGGATTCAGATTAACATTAACCAAGTAAAAACCTCTGCAGAATGTGGATAGAGCTAATGGCGATTGCAGCAAGTCTTTTTAAAGGCTAACGGGGAGGGGAGACACAAAACTGTTGGCAAGTGTGACAAGATCTTGCAAGAGGGGTGACAAAAGTGTAACTTTAAGGTGTTGTTACTTAAAAACCTTTTCAGGCAACTTTCAAAGAAATTTTGAACAGTATTCAGACAAAAGGATGATTAAAGTTTGGAAAGTAAACAGACATAAAAACCAGCAGCTGATTGAAAGCCATTCGTAATGGGCAGACAGGTAAACAAAAAACACAAAAGTGGCTTTTACAGATGCCTACTATGCAGAAGGGCAAGTTTTTTGTTCAAGTTCAATAACATTTTTTTTCAAAAGATGCAGTTTATACATATGCCTGTTGCCATTGACCCACATGTCATTTAACTTGAGGGAAAAGCATACAATGCCACACATGCCGTTTGAGGAAAGACTGAAGTGAAGTAACAAGACACAGCGTGTCTGAGAGGCATTACAGGTCAACTTTCAAAGGCATCACAGACCCACTTTGTGAATGGGTTATGTAAAAAAAGAAGGAAAGAACAAAGAATCAAAGCCTTGTAGGGGTGCGGTAGAAAAATGTGTGAATGCCTCAAAAAAATGGGAGAAAGCAATAGAGTATGCCTCTAAAAAGATGATGAAGGGGAGAAGAAACTCTAGATAGAAAAATAAGAGCCCTAAAGAAGGCTATATTATTACTTTTAAAGGTTGCTTAGAATAAATAATGAAAAAATTCCGTCACATTCACAATCCTGAAACACAGCTGTTGATTCTCATGTCGACTTGTGGGATCCAAAATCCCCATCAGGAATTTTAGGGGCCGGTGATGTTAAGAAAAGAACATGTGCTGAAGCTGAAAGGTGGGGAGGGTTGGATTTTATAAAGCAAAAAGGCGAATCTAGGCTGCATTCCACAAGGGACATGGAAGAATAAGGTTTTTTTTGCACCCAGCAGCTCCACAGCTCCTTTCCTTTACACCAGGATTACTCACAGGCCACAATACCTGTCACTGGGCTCTTATTGTGTCCGGCAGAAGAACGTGAACAGCCATCAGCATGTCGTCAGAGGTCGGATTACAGTCAAAAAAGCCTTTCATAGCTTTCAGAATTTCCTATTCAGAGCTTGGTTCTTTAATATGCACAATTCCTCACTAGAGACGGCTGAAGTAGCCCATTGTAAACTGCGTGCTCTGTATGACTCAGATGACATGAGGCTAAACTACACACACCCAGAACAAAATTTAAAGATGAACAGTATTGTTTCCACTTGAAAGAAAATATTAAAAAGTATATAGAAAGTTTAAAATTAAAATTGTACAATTCAAAACATGACTTCTCTCTCTATTATATGTGCGTGTGTGTGTGTTTGTTAATGTATATATGTATTGGTTTATATATTGTATTTGATTATATATTATATAAATACAATATATTTTATAAATTCTAATTCTGGTTGATTCCATTTACATGTGGAAGTCTGAAATTTTAAGTTCTTAACATAAACAAGAAATTCCCATCAAGAATGAATTACAACTCAAAAACTCCAGAAATCCAGGAGTGGCTGTGTATCAACAAAAATGAAAACCATACTAATACATTTTTTATTTATATTTGATATATTCACTCATATTTGGTGATGCAAAATGTATATTTCTTACTGCAATGCTTTATTTTTGATTGATGCAAAAAAATAGATTTATTTGTCATAATGTAACAGTTGGACTTTTTATAGCACGTTTATAGAACTCACATTCAAGGCAGCATGATAATGCTATTGATTTTTAGCATTATTGTCATCATCAATAATATTTCACAATAAGCAATAACAGAATTAGATAGTTGTTTCTAATTTTTGTTAGTCCTGATTGATTTTATTTTAAAATACAATAAATCTGTAATTTACAATTTGCAGTGGTGCTCATTCATTTTTAGTGGGCGCTACTAAATTTTTTATGATGCTCCCTTAAGTTATTTTCAAGCCCTGCATTAGACAAATACTATTAATGTTTTTATTTATTTATTGTTCTATCATTTATTTAGAGTGTACAAATTATGTTTAAATGTCAAAAATGTTACTTATAAGCACAAAGAAAAATATGGACTATTGTTTGTTTTTTATATAACTTTGTGCTGTATTATGTGGTTACTGAGCAGCAATAAATAACACTTTGAAATACAAGTCCTTTTTATGTGATTTTCTAAACTAGAACAGTTTTAAAATTAATAAATTTTATAAATTAATAAATGCATAATAATCGTGATTACCGTGATTATTTTTCAGACTATAATCGTACAACCAAAATCTATAATCGTTGCATCCCTAGTTGACAGTGCATGTCAAAGCACAAACCAAGCATGAAGACAAAGGAATTGTCTGTAGACCTCAGAAACAGGATTGTCTTAAGGCACAAGACTGGCCGGTCATCTAAGCTGAATGATCGGAGAGAAGGGCCTTGGTCAGGGAGGTAATCAAAAACCCGATGGTCACTCTGTCTGAGCTCCAGTGTTCTTCTGTGGAGAGAGAAGAACCTTACAGAAGGACAACCATCTGTGCCGCAATCCACCAATCAGGCTTGTATGGTAGAGTGGCCGGATGGATCCCACTCCCTGCCTGGAATTTGCCAAAAGGCATCTGAAGGACTCTCAGACCATAAGAAACTAAATTTTCTGGTCTGATGAGACTAAAATTAAACTCTTTGCAGTGAATGCCAGGCATTAAATTTGAAGAAAACCAGGCACTGCTTATCACCAGGATAATGCCATTAATGTTTTACAGCAGCAAAAACTGGAAAACTAGTCAGAAAAGAAAAAAATATGAATACAGCAATGTACAGACACATCCTGAAAGAAAACCTTCTTCAAAGTGCTCTTGACCTCAGACTGGAGCGATGGTTCATCTTCTAGCAGGACAATGACCCAAAGCACACCACCAAAATATCAATGGAGTGGCTTCACAACAACTCTGTGAATGTCCTTGAGTGGCCCAGCCAGAGCCCAGACCTAAATCCTATTGAACATCTCTGGAGAGATCTGAAAATGGCTGTACACCGTCACTGCCCATCCAACCTGATAGAGCTTGAGAGGTACTGCAAAGAGGAATGGGCAAAAATTCCCAAAGACAGGTGTGCCAAGCATCATATTCAAAAAGAATTAAGGGTGTAATTGCTGCCAAAGGTGCATCAACAAAGTACTGAGCAAAGGCTGTGAATACTGATGTACATGTGATTTTTTATTTTTTTTTAATTGAAAAATTTGCAACAATTTCAAAAAAAAATCTTTTTTCACATTCTCATTATGGGCTATTGTGTGTAGAAATTTTGAAGAAATTAAGGAATTTAATTCATTTTGGAAATAGGCTCTAACAAAAAAAAAAAAGTGAAAAAAGTGAAGCACTATAAATACTTTTCGAATGCGCTGTAAACACGGCTGTGATTAACTACAGGCTAATTGCATGGCTACTCGAGTGTTACTGCTCATTTATTTTCGACTGAATAATATCATATTGGTTTAAAACAATTGTCAGGGTAAGTAAACGGCGACAGTATTTTATTTCTTTAATTAGGCTAGACTAAAGGTGTTGTTTTTTGAAAGTGACGTGCACACGTTCACAGCTGATCTAAACATAGCTCCCCCAATCAGAATGAACTGTCTATAATAGATAACTAGATTCCATCAACTTACGTTTCAGGTCTAAAAATGAGTTTCATGACTATTGCAAAACAAAAATAAAGAAATAAACAAAATGCTGATAGGTTAAAACAAGAACAAGGAATGAAAAAAACTGTTGAAACAAAAGTGTCAAGGCATGAAAAAATAAGGACCTTGACATTTAGAAAGCCGTCACCATCTCACCCACGCCAGCAAGTTTCTTCTGTCCCAGATCTTTCTTCCCTTTCCTTTTTTTTTCACGGTCTTAAAGCCCAACAGACGTGTGAAATAATGCACCCTGCCTGGGAGTCACAAAAGCCATTTTCTGATGGCAGGATAGCTTCCATAACACTCCCTATCTCAAGGGCACAGCAAACCTTCATTCCCAAAAGCTCACACTGTATTGTCAGCTCTGGCTCTTGGAAATACTTTTGAGAGTTTGCTGTATCACAGATTCGGACAACGTCCAAAAACTCCTTATATTTTACGACACCTTTTTAAAAATATTTAAATGGTGCCATAGTTTTAAAATGTTTAAGATTTATGTGCTTCAACTTATGACTTCAATAAAACCAAAAGACTGGAAAACAAATCAAAAATGGGACATCTACTTGTGATCTGGACTTGATTGGCACCAAATAAAAAAAAAATTATAGGTCTGTAGTGGACAAAGCAGAGGATATTAATGTGCACAGGTGGTTTTGAAAAAACTATTGACAGGAAAAATCAACATAGGCTTTCTTTAAACGTGGGCCAATATACATTTCTGGAGATCTCAAAATTGTAGCCAAAGGAACGTATGGCTGCATTTTATCT